TCTCTCTCTCTCTCTCTCTCTCTCTCTCTCTCTCTCTCTCTCTCTCTCTCTGTGTGTGTGTGTGTGTGTGTGTGACGTTGTGAAGCCCGACAAGTTCAGCTGCAATAGCTCATGGAGGAATATGGGTCTCAAATTCTCAAATGACCATGTCGTCCTGTAGACACCCTAGGCAAATGGTCAGACAGAACAGATTAGCAAATTACAGACTTTGCATATTTAAACTTAAGCTGAACAGATTGATCGGGACACAAAGTTACCGAGGGTAGCAAGTGCAGTATAATAACTGAGTGCGTCTCTCAATAGCGAGAATGGCTGTCAAATTACACAAGGGATGGAGACCACGCAGGCCCATAGGTCGTCTAAAACCATACCAGAGACAACGGATGCCACCCAGATCCAGAGAATCTGCACTCATTAATGAGAAAGAGATCAAGAAAGCAACAGAGAATATCAGACATACCCAGCATAAGATGATAGAGCAGGCTAGCGAGCAGACCATCACGGTTTGTTGTCGCTGATTTAGTCTGGGTCAAGCCTAAAGAGTTCTTATCTGAAGAAGATATTCGCAGAAGCTGCTGCCAGTGTACCGTGGACCGTGGGAAGTCGTAGATGCAATAGACGGAGACAACAGACCATCTTATCTCATAGATGTGCCCCCACACATAAGAACCTACTCTGTATTCCATGCATCGAAGTTACTTCCCTGTATTCAAGATGATGAGCTCCCCTCACATTGATCTATAATCCCTGCTGACGTCGGATGGTAGCTATGATGTAGACTGCATTGTTGACGAAGCCCCACTCAGGAGAGGAAGAACGGGAAGACCACGTATGCAGTACAAGGTAGGTGCCAGTACCGACCCCCACAGGACGATAAATGGTTCCCAAGCGATGATCTTGCTGAGACTGCCCCCATGATCACAGTATGAGAAGGCTCGCAGAAGCTCTAGGCTGGCCAAGAAACTTGTAGCCTTTCTCAAAGGACCTCGAAACTAGATCCCAGTCCCAGTTTCAGTCCCAATCCGATCGCATGTACCAGTTTTCCACGCCCAAGGTTACTATCAAAAGGTCAGTTGGTCCAATCAGCCGCAAAGTTCCAGGAAAGTCAGTAAACTTCATGAAGCGACAAACGTCGGCGGACAGAACGTCCCATAACTGGTAGACCAAGATTGGAAGGCAAATCATCGGGTACAGAAGCCCAGTTGTTGAAACCTTCACGACATATTCACTTGCATGTCCAGGCGGAAGCACTGCTGTGCTATTTTGGGATTGGGCACTGCAGTAGGAAGGAGTCGATGGCACTAAGCACCTATAGTCATAGCTAGGTTGAGTGAGAATGATTGAGTGAGTTTGAGAGGCGTTCAGAGCGGTGAGGCCGTGAGTGAGTGAGTGAGTGAGTGAGAGAGAGAGAGACAGAGACACAGAGAGAGAGAGAGAGAGAGAGAGAGAGAGAGAGAGAGAGAGAGAGAGAGAGAGAGAGAGAGAGAGAGAGAG